TAAATAAATAAATAAATAAATAAATAAATAAATCCACTTCTGAAAGAATTCCCAACAGAAGTCCCATAACCCCAAGTACTAACCTTTCTCAGCCAAGGAGATAAATTTCCATAATAATCCAAAATTACCACAGATGTAGGGGCTGCAGAGAGCCCTACTGCCCTTTTCCTGTAATGCAGTGCATTTTTATTACACTGTAATCTCCAACCTGATTTACACCAGTGTATCCAATAACAAAGCATATCCTAATGCAAAAACGACCCAATGCACAATTGTTAATGACATCTCCAATTGTGTTGGCTTTACCAACTTTTGTACTCATCTTAATGGGCATACCGGTGTCATAATGAATGTCATTTAAAGTACACATTTTAAAAAAAAAAAAAAAAAAAGGTCTTTTTCCTGGGTCGAATAATTTTTTAAAATATTTTCACATGCAGTCCATAATCAGTTATTCTTGACAATAGAATTGTATTTAACCCCTGAAGACATAACACACCCTGCCAGCCATGCAGTCATACTCACAGGATCCACTCCATCCCTGCCGAGAAGGTAGAGAGCGCAGAAGTCACATTGTACACATGTGCACTTGATGAAGGGCAGTGCATTAGCATATAGGGAGGGAACAATGCATCTACAAATGTGGGCAGAGAGGTGGCAGGGAGGCACAGATCAATTGTAGAGGAATCAATAAAAATTTAAGGCAATATCCAGGGAAGGGATGGGCAGCAGAATTGTAGAAGCAGATCCAGAAAGAGATCAAGACAAAACATAGCAGTCCTCTAAAATAGGAATGATGCCACCCAGAGGTCACACGTGTGAGGAAGCCCACCTGCCCCCAATATACCTGTACAGCAGCACCCCGTGCACTCATGCACACTGTGATACCAAGCCCCTCCAGGGACCTAGTAGGTGACTGCTGCTACCCCTGTGTTACAGCCCCACCCACAACCCCTACTGTAGCCTTGGTCCTCCTATGGAGTGGCACTAGGTCTCTGAGGTAGAAGCCAACCCAGCATTTGAGATTTACCCTTTGGGATTTCACTGCAGCTCAAAAACCTCAACTGTCATTCTTTTCACTTTGCGATTTTTTTTGTAAAGGGTAAGAACTTTGGGGAAAAAATATTTCTTTCATTAGCTTTTCATAAAGTTCTAATTGAAGGGGAGAAAGCCAGTTTTGACACATTTTCTGTGAGTTCCATCTTTTATTCAGTAGCTTGCAATAACTCCCTTTCAGCCTTTCTCTCTGGGCTGTCCTACTAGACTGGCACTCCACATATGTCACTGTATTCTGTTGGCCTCCCTCTGTTAAGGGAGCGAGAAAGAGGGAAGATGGGAAACATTCAGAAATGGAGAAGTGCAGGAGTGCGCAGGCAGGCTTGCTGGTGCCCCTCCGCCTTTGAGCAGCTCCCCAGCCAGCTGTCTTCTAAGAATGTCGCACTTTATAGCTTTCACTAATCAGTTGTATGAATGAAAGAACAAAACTGTGTGTGTGCAAGAAATAGGTCCTTTGTGCTTCCTAAACTGTTTCATGGTTTACACCTACCCTGTAAAGTTATTTTCATGCGTTTTCATAGATCACCGTGATTTAAATGCTTTCTTTATTTTTCATTTTATGTGTATGAATGTTTTGCCTGCACATTTGCAAGTGTACCCGTGTCATTCAGCGCCTGTGGAAATCAGAAGAAGGCATCAAATTCTCCTGGAACTGGAGTCACTGACAATAGTTAGCCACTATTTAGGTGCTGGGAATCAAACAAGTCCTCTGCAAGAGCAGCCAGTGCTCTTAACCACTGAGCCATCTCTGCAGCCCCTTAAATTCTTTCTTGTACATATTTTTTTAAACTGTTGTAATAGCAATTTGTAGACACAGTTTAAAGTGAATTATTCTTTGTGTCAACACATCGTGAGATTTGGTGGTTATTTTGTTCATGCAGAAGCAATTTGACTATTTATTACTATGTGTCTGTCCTGTTTATAGGCATAATATACAACCAAAAATGGAAAAAAGAAGTCCCGAATTACCCAAGAAATCCTCACTTATGTATTTATAGTACATTGGAAAGGGATATTCATGAGACTCACAGCCAGGAGAACAGTCCACTCAGTCTCCCAGAATCCTCTTGGCATGCACTTCGCTTCAGGCACATATTTTTCTTCAGCCTTAAATATTCAGATAATTGTTCATGGAGAAATCTGCCTTTGCTGAAGTGGCTTAGACTTTCCCCCTTTTGATTACACTCTGGTTTGTTGCTAAGACACCCTAGAGCTGCCAGCGTGTGCAGACTCAGGGATGTCACAGACAGTTACAGTGCTGTCAGTGAAGCAAATGAAAACGTAAACATTAGCAGTCTTCTGCAGAAAAATATTAGTTAGGATTCACTGTCCTAACACAAAAATGTGTATTTTCTAAGTTTTAAAATGTTTCTTTTAAATTAGAATGTTCTAGATCTAACCAAGTAGATGTTCTTTAAACAAGTCCTCTCTTATGACAGATAATTATAGCCTGGTATACTACCCTATTTTCAAAATATCCATAAGAATCAAATGTTTAACAGAAGTAACCTGAGCATTGTCATTTAGAAGCAGTATATGCAGGGAACTGATGACCCCAGTGAGCCAGAACTTCCTCGAGAGTAAGAACACAGCCTGCACATTTGTAAGTGCACCCATATCATTCAATGCCTGCCTAAGATATCTAAGGACACATGAGGGTAGAATCTGCCTTGTAGCTTACAAGAAGCCTCATTTGAGAAAACTGTCCACTCCTGTGAAAGTTCTACAAGAGGCTGTGAATATGGAACAAAACTAAGATCCCGGTAAACCTAAAGGACGTGGCGTCCAATGACTGTGAAATGGATCTCAAACTTTTTGCAGAATTCTTAAATAAACATCAAAGGAATGAAGATTATCTGGCATGTCAACTTTCTTATCAGGAAATGGTAGAGGAACAGGAGCAGAAGAAAGCCCAGACTGAAGCCCCTTCTACCTCATCACGTGCAAAGATTTAACCAAGGAGGATAAAGCAACAAGTCTTCCTATTGTTGTAGGTCATAAACTCATCAATGGAAGAGTCGCCATCATTTGCACTTGCTGAAGACTGCTTGCCAGTCCATTTTCCTAGTGCTCATGGTTATTCTGGAATAAATTTTTTTTTCCAGGTGGCTGGACTCATCCTCCTGGGATACTTAGAGCAAGTTTTTGTTTTGTTTTGTTTTGTTTTGTTTTGTTTTTGTTTGTTTGTTTTTTTCCCTTCTAGCTTCCTATTTCCTGGTCTGTAAAACAGGGGCTAAAAGTGCCTGCCACAGAACGTCAGTAGCAGTTAATGAGGAAAGCATTTAGCAGAGTCCATGAAACATTCTAAGTAAAACTCTTATGCTTAGTTTGTAGTTCTTCATAAATAGATCTTACTGACTACTGAGGGTGCATTTTTTTAATAACCACATGATTAGAAGAAGCATTTCATTACAGCTTTAGCATATTCAGTAACACATTCCAGAGCAAGGATACATCTCTTTCAAAAGTGGCTGTAAATTTTAGGTTCACAGTTGAATTAATAGTTATACAATATTGAACTCAGTATAAACCCTGTAAGACATTCAGCAGATGGACAAGCACTGAGGATGTATTCGTAATACAAGTTTCTAGCCACTCATTTGAGAATGGAGTTACTGAGTACTTAACAGCAACTCCGTGAAACCAGTCTTAAAAACAAAGTCACATACCCCCCAACAGATAACTGTGCCTACAGGTGAGTAGACACTCTGTTCAATCGGTTATATTGACCTTAAACTTCCTAAGAGAAAAAATGGGCTTGAGGAGCTCGGGAGGTAGAAGATGGCAGTGGGGCATGGGTGGGGAAATACCATTTTTGCAAATGATATGTGTATAGGGGACTGACAAGATGGGCTTAGCAGTAAAGGCACTTGCCACCAAGCCTAATGACCTCAGTTCAATCCCCAGGACCCACATGGTAGAAGGAGAAAACGACTCCTGCCACATGTGTACTGTGACATACACACATACAAATAAATAATTAATTTTAAAAATTTAAAGGTGTATATATGTTATATGTACATAGACACATGTATATAATAAAGGTTTTATGCTGTTCTGTTGAAAGACAGTTCTAAATAAGTGCTTTGGGGTACTTGGAATCTTTATCTGAAGACATTAAGAATTTCATCCCCTGCCCCCACCCCAGGCTGGAGAAATGGCTCAGTGGTTAAGAGCACTGGCTGCTCTTGCAGAGGACCCAGGTTCCATTCCATCACCCACATGGCAGTTAATAATCATCTGTAACTCCAGTTCCAGGGGACTCCAATGTCCTCTTCTGATCTCCATAGGCATTTCATGACATGGGTGCACTTACACACTTGTATACAATACACTCATATGCATAAAATAAAAATAAGAAGAATTGCAGCCCCCCTCCCTCCAAAAACTCCATCCTTCAAACATGCCAAGATGATAAGAAAGTGGTTGTTTCAAATGATCTACAGGCACTGGTGCATCCCAGGTACGTCTCACATGAGGAACCACCACCAGACCACAGCAGGGATTTGCTCATAGTCAGGTTCCCGATCTGCCTACTTCCTGTGCACACACTTCTGGCTACTCTGAGGCCTTGCTCCTGGCAGAAACCTAATGGCAGGCTACATATTTTCTACTCAGAGTACTTGGGAACCAAAGTTGGAGTATTTGAAGATATATAATGAACTGTCTTGGAGGAAGGACCCCAGTCTGAGTGGAATGTTCATGTATGTTTCATATTCACTTCACACATATAACCTGGAGGTCATTTTATATAGGTTCAGTGCATGTGCATGTCAAGGTCAAGCACAGAAGTTTTTGCTTATGGCATCTTACCAGCACTCAAAAAATTTAGGTTTTTGGAATGTTTCCAGTTTGGGATTTTCAGATCAGAAATGCTCAACCTCTCTAAAGTTCTGGCACTTTACCTGGGAAGTAATTTCCAAATAATGTTGTTCTCTCTGCAGGAGGACACAGCCCTCTGGCCCCATGTGACCACAACTGTGAAGGATTGACTGACTCCTCCAGCTGGCCATCCAGGCTCCCACCATGGGACCTGCAGGGAGTGCGCTGAGCAGTGGGCACATGCAGATGCAAATAGTTCTATGGGGAAGTCTGGCTGCTGTTGCTATGTTCTCCCTCATCACCTTCCTCATCTTTTTGTGCTCCAGTTGTGATAGGTGAGGGCTGACCTACATCTCCTGGAACCTTAATCTGTTCCCTGTACCTGGAGGTGTCTTTATATTAAAAAGCTTCCCCCATGGGACTGGAGAGATGGCTTCATGGTTAAGAACACCAACTGCTCTTACAGAAGACCCGGGTTCTATTCCAGTACCCATATGGCATCTAACAACCATTCGTACCTCCAGTTTGAGTGGAATCTGACGGCCGCTCCTGACTTCTGTGGGCACTTCATGACACAGGTGTACTTACATACATGCAGGCAATACACACATACATATAAATTTTTTAAAAAGATTCCCTACATAGAGATCCACAGGTCAGTTACTAAGGGTCCCAGGATATTCTTCATCCATCAGTTGAAAGTTCTTACTGGTTTTTCTAGAGAGCAGCCTTCTATATTTTAAATATCTCAGAAAGGAAGTCTTGTTCTTCAAGCACCTCCTTGTTGTGTGTTGTCTTTTTCCATCTGTGGACATTTTTGAAAATCTGAATGTGAGGCACATCTTTTTACCACCACTTAGAGGTTACTGAGGATTCTTGCTGTTATGTGACTTGGGAGTAATGATGTATCGTTAAAAATATGTGCTGCCAAACTGCAGTCTGTTAAGAAACAGATTTGTTTTCCTGCAAGAAACTCACTATGCATGGAATAATCATTAGTCTTTTTCTTTTGAAGCATTGCCCTCCATCTCCCTCCTCTGTCTCATAAAATGCCAGTGCCTCAAAAAAGGGGGGAGGGGAAATCTTTGCTTAGGAAGAAGTAAAGTTCTTTGTAAGCAGGAATAATTGCTCGGGACACTCAGGGATGGGTACGATATATGCAGCCTCTAGGTCTGCCGAGAGACAGTGTGGACCAGCTTAGCCAGCCCCATGCTGAACTCTCCCTTACCCTTAGAAGAAATCAGTCACTGAAAAGTTTGATATGGCTTCCCACCCTAAAATCTGTCAGAAGGAGAAAAGCCAGGCTGCCTGACCCCAAGTAGCCTCCTAGTCCCTGCCCAGCATGGACCCAGACCTCCAAGGCTAGAACTGGCCAGACCACCAGGAAAATGAGGGCACTCCGGGGGTTGGAAAGGCCTGCTGCTGCGGTGGCTCACTTTCCCACTAGGTGGCACTCGCTTATCTCCATATACAGAAATGTCATCTTTACAACTGGTGGCTTTCTTTAGACTGTCCTGCGTAAAACATGTTCTATTTTTAGTCAACAGACTTTTCCATAGACTGGAAGTACATATGACTCATCCCAAGAACATGTTACCTTCCTGACATGCCAAAAGTTGTTATCTCCTGTCTCTTCTCTGTTCCCTTACAGCGTGTGACTCTGCACACTCTAAGGGAGAAGGTGAGATCATTGTTAGGATTTGCTAAGGAAAAAAGCAGTGTCCGTTATCTGAACATTGTAGGTTCATAAAGATCCTATTGGCAGCCTGACTTGGTCCTCTCCCTGTGAACACAATCCTCTGCTCACTGAAAAAAGGTGTGCAGGATGGGAATTAGTCCCTTGTGGTCAGTTATGACCTCTTCATGCCCTTGACACCAGCAAAGATCAAGTGCCGGTTTCCCTCTCAGCAAAATAAACCTAATTCATAAAACCAGGGAAGTTTAGGAGCTGATGAAGATAGGGAAGGGAAGTGTCTGTTTGACTTTAAGGGGCATATTTGACATCAGAACCATGTTTTATTTTCCATTTCAGAGAGAAGAAGCCAAGACAACACAGTGGAGACCATGAGAACCTGATGAATGTGGTAAGCCTTGGTGTGTTTGTGTGTCTGTCCACTTGTAAACACTATCCAGGTATTCTGCTGCTGGCCTGTGACCAAAGTGGCAGGTGGAAATAAACGGAGGTGAGCTGTTGTCTTAGCCAGGTGTGTGCTAGAAGCTTCTGAAGTGGAGAGTTGTCACAAGGACAAACTGGGTAACTTAAGTAACACCTATTGTCTCTCAGCTCTAGAGGCCAGAGTCCAGCATTCAAGGTGTTTGAGGTATTGGGTCCATTCCCAGCCTTGGTTCCTGAGTTCATATACGTGTTAGCCCTCCCTCTGTTTTTGCCTTCCTGTGGCCTTCTCTGTCTTATGTGTCACTTTTCCCTCTACATGTCTGTCCCAGCAATCAAGTTTCACCTTTCTAGAAAGACACCAGACCTATTGGACTAGGGCCCAGCCTATCCTAGCTTGACCTCCTCTTAAGTACTGTTATCTTCTTTCAAATAATGTTCTAGTCTGTGATGCTGGAGGTTAAGATTTTGACATACATTCGGGGGAATACAGTCCTACCTAAGCCACTCACCAGGGCCTGGGGCCCACAACACCCTAAATAAAGCCAAGCCTTGTTGCATTCCCTGCCCTCAGCATTTTATGAGGTCTTGCTGGGCCACAATAATCTCCCGGATTCACCTGGGTGAGAAGCCTGAGGCTGTCACAGTCTTCTGCCTGGCCTTTGACTTCGTAGCCTTGCGTGGTAGAGCAGTCCCTGCAGCTAGGGATGGACCCACACTCATGCCTACAGAGCTATGTTCAGAGTCCCACCTGAGGCCCAGGACCATGCTAGGAAGGAAGATGCTTCCCACTGAGAGCATCATCTCTCAAAGTTAGACAAAGCCTAGTTGTGGGAAAAGAAGAAAGCATGGATGACTCAAAACCCGTGGGATCCAGTATGGTTTGTAGCCAGCAGACTTATGCAGAGCATATGCAGGAGGCGCCTACCAGCATCCCCAGGCTTGCCTGAACTCATGTTTCCCAGTGCTTCTGTAGCCCACGCAGGCAGGAAGCTGCCAGGATTCCCTGCTCAGTTCCTCCTGGACCCCTGGGTTCCCTTCCCTTCCTGTCTGTGAGCACACCCTCCTCACCTACCACTGCTGTCTTGGCCCTCAGCACCTCCCCTCCCTTGAGCACTTTTCTCACTCTATTCCTGCCTCTCACGTTGTCTCCACATCTCATCTGTTCCCAGCTTTTTCATCCTCTCCCACTGATGGCTGCTGTGGTGAGTGAGGTAGAATGGGGCCCTGTCTTTCTTCACTTACCACCTTCCTCAGAGCCAGGTGGATGGTGAGTTGTGACTGGGGCTAGGCTTCTACCTTCAGCCTCACTCCCTTCTAGGACAGGGATTATCAGGGGTAACTGGACCACCAGTAGCAGCAACAGCATCTGAGAGCTTGTGGGAATTCTCATGCTCCCAGGGCTAGGGCTCAGGAGTAAGGACAAGCCTTCCAAGTGATTCTGATGTAGGCCCTGGTATGCGCACCATTGTTTTAGACCTTCTGTCCCTATGGCTCTGGCCAAGGTCAGCAGTAGCCCTGGGTGAGGTAGGAAGAGAGCTGCAGGTGGGCAGAGAAGAAGCTGGCTCTGCCTTTTCTTTCTCACATGGTATTTCCTCCATTATGGCTCCCTCGGGCCCTCAATACTTGACTGTATCTGCGACAGAGTGTACACACAAGGATGTATGTTTACCCTGGCAGTGCAGCCTGTGCAGATTCAATTGCACACCCAGCTCCTAAGTCTCTTAAATTGTGTACAGTTTGCTGATTTGTGTCTCATAAAAGCTAAGGTGGGAAACGGTGGTCAGAACATGGATTGTGGAAATTTAGCCAGCCATGATGGGTTGTGCTGGAAGACTTCCCTTGATCCCCACTCCTACCGCCTCAGGACACTGTTTCTGAGACATTAGCAACTGCACCTCAAGGTCCTGGTGACCCACACAATGATCATTTAGAGCGGCAGATTGAGTGACATTGGCCTCAAACAGCAAATTCCTGGGATATTTGCATATCACCCCAGTGAAGGTCATTTGCTATCTGTTATTATCTGATTTCCCATCAGGAGTCAGTAAGTTTGTAAAGCCTACCATCCTAGGCCCCTATTAATGTTATGTCAGAATTTCCCATGTGGTGTCCTGGAGCTTGGGTTGTCTCTTGGTCAGCAGAGGCCATGAAAATGACAAGGATGGGGCCTGTCATACCATTCAGGCTGCTGTCTGGGGCCAATTGGGTATTTAAAGAAACACGTCAAAATTCAGCTTGTTTCTGCCTGCCCTTGAGATAGCTCCACCTGTTGTGTTGTTCTGGGAATGTCTACACACTGTACCCCCCTCTGGAAGTAAACTGTCAGTGCTGTTCTTCTCTCTTAAGTTGCTGTGTCTCTGTGAGAATAAGAAAGGTCTGCAAAGCTATTTTTCAAGGAACCTTTTCATTTTTGTGAACTTTGAGACCAGAGACTGATTTTTAAATAGACTCAGAAATCAATGGTGTATTAAATACTGTGTTTGACCAGATTTAAGTCTGTTCCTGTCAGGTGATACTTTGCCAAATGTTTGTTCTTCGTTTGTTTAACATCCATGTAATGAGGGTGGCATTGCGCCTTGCTGGGGTCTATTCTGACCTACACCGGGTTTTCTGGTCTCTTCTTGCCTCAAGCTAAGGAGACATAGCCTTCCTGTAGCACACGTATAGACCACCAGGTAAGAGGTACTGCCAGTGGTCCTGGCAGATTCCCAGTACCCCTGAGATTCTAGAAACACATTGTCTGGAAGAAGCTTCCCAGGAATGCTGTTTGATGCCACCAGAAATGATCTCCACTGTTGAACATTTGAGTATGATTCAAAGAACTGTCCCCTGCTGTTACAGAATACCTGAATGTGACTAAGAAGCTCAATTTAATTTTACTTTTGTTTCACCTACTTTAAGTAATGGATTCTGATTTTTGCTTTAGCTGCATTGAGTTGTGAAAAAGCCATGAGTGTCCTCCACTGGTGCCCAGTGGATTCTTACCAAAGGGTATGTTTGGGTTTTGCAGCCTTCAGACAAGGAGATGTTCAGCCATTCAGCGACCAGCCTGACAACAGATGCACTGGCTAGCAGTGAACAAAACGGGGCACTCACCAACGGTGACAGTAAGTACTGCGAAGAGACTGGTTTCCACACAGCCTTTATGGCCCATGAAAGTACTAGACTTCAAAAAAGGTAGCTCAGAAACTAGGAAATGCGTTCTAACCCACTCATTATTACTACCAGTTTTAGCCAAAGGTTTCATTTGCATAAATGATACTGGTTTCCTATTTGATGGCTTCTTGGTGCCAGAAACTGCTCTCAGGGGCGTGTGTGTGTGTGTGTGTGTGTGTACACTAAGTCACTCACCTGACCCTATAAGGTTGCTACGTATGATTGTGATGTCCTTACCACCCTGTCAATAGGCATCACTAAGTCCGCAGCCTAAACCTCTAGCACATCACTGCTGGATCAAATTATCACAGGCTTAATGCCTTGAGGGACATAAGTTTCAGACTGGAGAGATGGTTCAGTGGTTAAAAACGCTGGTTGGTCTTACAGAGGACCTGGGTTCTCTTCTAATCTAACAATCATCCATTCATTCATAACTCTAGTTCCAGTTCCAGATCAAGCTGGCCTCAATCTCACAGCAATCCACCTGCCTCTGCCTCCAGTGCCCTGAGATTAAAAGTGTGCACCACCATACCTGGCCCAAGTGTATATTTTTACCCCTCAGCTTCTACTGTGTCTTCCAAAGCAAAGTTCCTGTAAAATGGGTGGTTGTCACATCTTCCCTCCCTATAGGCAGAGACCAGTCAGGCCAGGGAAAGGAGACACCATGCACACACTCTTTTCTGGTATCCTGCAATTTGGCATCATGGGTTTACAACATACTTGATTTGTTTGCTTATTTTGGGTACTGGGGTCAAAACCCAGAGCTTTGTGTATGCTAGGCAAGTACTCTACAAATAAGTTGCCCAGCCTGGTCTACTTAGGAGGCCCTGGTCTTCCTCCCTGGGCCTCCTGAGTAGTTGGCTGGCCATGGATTGTTACTTTCACCACTTTCACCCTCTGATCACATACATAGGACACTTTGCCTTAACAGTAAGTAATTAGAGGAATCAGGAGTCAAATTATAGCCTGGATCATGTATTATGTCTTATACTGGGAAAGATACAATTGATGGCTTTCATTTAAACTGTAATTAAAATAAGAACATCAGTTGGAATCACAGTTTACACCTGAGCATCAGGTAAAAGCAAGCTTCTTGGTTTAACAACATTCCATGGTCTGATGCAGTACACTGGTTATTAAGGGATCATCTTCCTTGACTATTAACACTTGTACCCCTTCAGTTCTTTCAGAAGACAGCACCTTGACCTGCATGCAACATTATGAGGAAGTCCAGACCTCGGCTTCAGATCTGCTGGACTCCCAGGACAGCATAGGGAAGTCCAAGTGTCATCAGAGCCGGGAACTGCCCAGGATACCCCCTGAGAGCACGGTAGACACAGTGCTTACTTCCAGGGGTGTGGATGGGGACCCAGGACCAGGTGTGGAGGGGCCATATGAGGTGCTCAAGGACAGCTCCTCCCAGGAGAACATGGTGGAGGACTGCCTATATGAAACAGTGAAGGAAATCAAGGAGGTAGCAGACAAAGGCCAGAGTGGCAAGTCCAAGTCTATTTCTGCCCTGAAAGAGCTTCCAGGGCCCCAAACAGAGGGCAAGACAGAGTTTGCTGAATATGCCTCTGTGGACAGAAACAAAAAGTGCCGCCAGAGCCTGAATGCAGAGAGCATTCTGGGAACTTCCTGCGATCTCGAAGAAGAAGCCCCACCACCTGTACCAGTTAAACTTCTGGATGAAAATGCAAACCTTCCAGAGAAGGGAGAGAAAGAGGCAGAAGAGCAAGTCATAGAGGGGACCAGTGGGCACAGCAAGGTAGGCTCCAGCACTTCCCTTCCTGGGCTTTCGTCCTGAGGAGCTCTTTACACAGTGCCCTGAAATATACATAACATTTTTTTTTCCTCTTTGGTCTTTTTAAGACAGGGTCTCCCTGTAGCCACTGCTGGCCTGGAACTCACTATGGAGACCAGGCTGGCCTTGAATTCACAGAGATCCACCTGCCTTTGCCTCCCAAGTGCTGGGATTAAAGGTATGTGCCAACACCCCCAGCAATGCATAACATATTTATAAACACTTGCAGGGTCATCAGATGATGAGGTGTTATAGTGTAAGCTGTGCTTGGTCTCCTCATCCTCTTAAGTCATAAAATACTGAAAATCCATGTTTATAAAGCATTTCTCTCCAAGTACATCACTCAGATATTTTCCAGGTTTTACAGCATATCTAATGAGAACCAACTATCATTTTCTTCATTTTGAAGACCAAGAATCACATAGACTAGATTCTTTGCTATCATCTTCCCTCTTCTAGTGCATGCATTGCCCATGTAGGCCAGAAGATGGCATCAGATCCCCTGGAACTGGGTTTACAGATGGTTGTGAGCCATCAGTATGGGTGCTTGGGAACCTAACCCAGGTTCTTGAAGAGCAGCCAGTGCTCTTGACCGCTGAGCCAAGAAATTCCCGTATTACAGGAGTTTCATGCATGGTCAGAAAGTGACCCCTGGCTATGATCATACTAGTTGTACTAACAAAGTCATTCTTTGCACTATTCTCTGAGTTCACTTCAACTTTTCACAATACCCATGGGATCAGCTGTTGAAAACACCAAGAAAAGTATTTACAAACATGTTCATGAAATATAGAAATGTCTTAAGCTTTTACCCTTCATAACCAAAGATAATGAAACCAATGTGAGTTTATGCTACCTAAACCAGCTGAAGCTTTTTATTGACAGACATCTGGAAAATAAAAGGGTCAGTTTTCCATTGCTAATAAGTATATTCTCCATATATCATGTTTAGAACTGGAAATACCCATCCAAGATCCAAACTATCTCTTTCCGTTATAAGAGTAAGTAACCCTCTACCATGTAAACAATCCCAATTTTAAGTGAATTGAGAATTTCAAATGATTAATAGTCATTTATCCAACAGAAAGATTTTGATGAGCATGTACTATGAGCCAGATGGCCATCCAGGTGCTAGGAAAACACCTAGATGAATGAAACATAAATGAACAACAATTCCAGGTTTTGTGGCACTTACACTTTAGTGGGGAAGGGATAATCGTACTAAAGTTCAAAGGAAAACAATAGAATAAAGAAGGTTGGGAATAGGTGGGGTGAGGAGTGCGGTTTTGGACAGAGTTTGCAGAGTCTGCATCCACGTGAAGCAGAATTAAGGAGATGACTGAGTGAGTTGTGCATCTGCTCTTTAGGGGCACTGTGCAAGTGAGTCTCTGGGAAGCCCCTACACTAGAGCAGGGACTGGCTTGTCGAGAGGAGAGTCTCGGGTAGTGAACAGAGAAGAGCAAAGATGAGAGCCATTTGGAGACAGGTGCCTGGGCTTGTAGTCTGATGAAACCCATGCTTTGAAAGCTCTCTCTGTTCTAAACAATCAAATAAGAGGTGGAGGGGCTCCAGTCAGGGCAGGGGCAGCAGAAGTGATAGGAGGAGCTAAGCTAGAGCCAAGAGCTTTGCTGGTAAATCACTTGTGTGTTGAGAGAACAAAGACAGTAATAGGCTGAAGGTAGGCTCAGCCACTGGGTGTAAGGAACCACCAGGAACTGAGATAGAGGATCATAAGCAGGTAGGAGTTGGAGCAAGACTGAGCCCTCACTGCTGGAACTGGGTTATTAGAGATGGAGAATGGCCGGGACATCAGCACGCCTCACTGCAGATGGGAGCTGAATGGGCCAAGAGGAAAGTCCAGGGCTGGGATTCGCACAGTTGAGAATCTGTGGCAGAAATGTGATATTTAAACACATGGGATTGGAGAGTATGCACTGGGACCAGAGAGTCCCAAGAGCAGAGACCTGGGAAAGGAAACAGCAGGAGAGACCAAAGTAAGAACGAAAGCCAGTGTGGGGTGCTAGAGACCAGGTGAAGAAAATGACTGGAGAGCAGTGACTTTGGAACACATACAGAAGATGGATCAGGAGAATGAGTTATCATATCTACATTATAGTCACTGGGGATCAAGGCAGTTTCTCAGATTAGAGAGGTAGAAACTCACTGAATGGGTATAGAGAGAACATGGGAAGAAGGAAAATCGTAAGACTTGGCTGTATAGTAATGAGGCAAAAGATGGAGTTGGAAATATAGTTGAGTTTGTTTTGTTTTTAGAATGAAAGAAATCGGCATGTTTGTGTGTAGGTGAAGATGATCCCACAAAGAAAAGCTGGTGGTGTAGACAAAATGGGGGACTTGATGAAGCTGTGCTCACATGCCATGGGAAGGGACAGGTGTGGGAGGGACAGCATAGAGTAGAATGTAGCAAGTGCATCCATGGTAATCAGGAAAGAGGGGAGGAGGCAGAAGGATGCTGGAACTGGTGGCAGGCAGCATGGATGGAGTTCCTAGAAATTTCTTTGCCTTTACTTTTAGCTTTTTTCTCAATGAATTAGGAAGCAAGGCCATCAGCTCACAGTGGGTGGGTGAGGAGGTGCAGAAGGTTTGGAGAAAGAAAGATGCAACGTAGACAAGCTGCGTCTGCTTGTGTTAACAAATCAAATGTGTTAACGCGAAGTATCCTAAGATGCAGAGCAGCTCTGGGGACCTGCTCACCCCTTCACCAGGGAGCGGGGAAGGGAGCTGAGTATTTCCAGTTGATTGTAATGGCTGACTATAGAGTATATTCTTGGTATAAGACAGGGTGGAGAGACAACAGGATGAGGGGAGATAGAAAAGACAGTTGCATTACAACACTGTTGAAAAATGATTACAACTGGGTTATATAAGAGAGTGTGAATGAGGAGTGCTGGTCTGAAAGGAGTTGCTCGAAGCTGGGATAGTGATGAAGCTGGGATAGTGATGGACAGAGAGGGCTGGGTAACTAGAGGCCTGGTGCTGTGAGCAGACAGTGGGGAAGTCAGTGGAGCATGCTGTCAGTGTGGCAGAGAATATCAGGGAACAGAAAGGCAGGATCTGGAAGAATGCACATTTGTTAGAATTGCCAAGAATTAAGGCAAGAAACATGTTAGAATTCATTAAACTATAGTCAAAATCACTGAGAAACCAGGAACCACAGTGGCCAAGAAAGGAGGCAGGAGGACAGGGACAGCATGAGAGCTGGCTTCTCCACTAGCTGTGACAGTTCTTCCTGGTAGTGCTGCAGACTGTTGAGTGCAAAATTTGATTTCATAAAGGAAGGCTTTTTTGTTACCAACCCTTCATTGGTGACCAACTCTTCAGTGAGAATTAGAAATTGAAACCACAGCTTAAAAATCATTTTGGGGGATGAGTGTGGGGCTGAAGAGATGGTTCAGCAGTTAAAGCTTGTACTGCTCTTACAGAGGACCCAAGTTCAGTTCCCAAGTCCTGCAGCACACTACCCCCTGTAACTCCAACTCCAGGGGATCTGACACCGCTGACCTCCAAAGAACACCTGCACTCACATGCACATACCCACACATGGGCACATGCACATAATTAAAAATAAAGATCATGGCCAGGAGTGGTCAAGCATGCCTTTAATCCCAGCACTCGGGAGGCAGAAGTAGATGGATCTCTATGAGTTCAAGGCCAGTCTGGTCTACATAGTGAGTTCCAGGCCAGCTGGGGCTACAGGGAGACCCTGTCTCAAAAGACTTAAGTAAATAT